AATTCCATGATATTTAGAAGGGGTATGTCTTATAGTTGTGTGTCACTGTAAATTCCTTGATTTTCCATAAATTTCCTTGAATTCCCTAAATTGCTTGAATTTCTTGATTTCCTTGAATTCCATGATATTTAGAAGGCGTATGCCTTAAAGCAGTATATAACTCTAAATTGCTTGAATTTCCTGAATTCCTTGAATTTCCATTTGGTGGATCCTAGGTAGTGCTGTCGAATTTCGTGTAATGGTAAGAAACTATATAAGAAAAACTGAAAAGCCAAGCTATACGGAAGATGATGTACAAAATGCTGTTGAAAAAATTCGTACGAAAGAATGGACATATGAAACGGCTTCTAATCTAACAAATATTCCCATCGGTACACTTGCTTCTCGAATATCTCGAAAATCAAATCAACAAGTTGGTCGTCCTACAGCTCTGAGAAAAACAGAAGAAAAACATTTAGTTGATTTAATTATTACTTTACAAGATTATGGAGAATTATCAACAAGTGATGATGTATTAAAATATGCAACTGAATTTGTACATATAATGAATTTAAAATCTCGATTTAAAAATGGTGAACCAACACGTGATTGGTACTACGGTTTTATAGCAAGATGGAAGGACAAATTGAAAATAATGAACAGCAGTAAAATAGAAAAAGTTCGAGCTGATGTTACAATGAGTACCATTGATGATTGGTTTGCTAAACTTCATTCGGTCTTATCAAAACTTGATTTATTTAATAAACCTCAACAATTGTTTAATTGTGACGAAAGTGGTTTCCGGGATGATCCAGGAAAAAAGAAAGTTGTAGTTAGTCGACAAACTAAATTTGCAAATAAGTGAGTTAATAAATATTATATTTAATCATTACTTTTGTTAATCCATATATCATTTGTCTCTTAGAATTCATACTGGTAGTGGTAAAGAAAATACCACTGTATTGTTAACCATCAATGCCAGTGGTGTTTGTTTACCACCGTATATAATACATAAATCCAAATGCCTGTATGATATCTGGTGTCCTCGAAACGTGATTCGTGGTGCTATTTATAACAGAACAGAATCAGGATGGATTAATGAGGACACCTTCTTTGATTATTTGAAAAATATGTTTATACCACAAACAAAACATATTCCACGACCAATTTTACTAATATTTGATGGACATACATCTCATTTATCATTGAAAACTGCACAGTTAGCAATTGACAATCAAATTCATTTACTCTGCCTTCCAGCTCATGCTACGCACCTCCTTCAACCACTCGACGTTTATACTTTGAAATATGTCAAGACACAATGGCGTACTTTACTTTGGGATTATTACAATAAAAATGCTGGAAAAAAATTAGATAAACCGACTTTTATTCGATTATATGCTCAATTATATAATTATGCATTATTACCAACACATTGTTCGTCTGCTTTTGGGAAAGCTGGTATTTTCCCGTATGACCCTCGTGTCATCAAACGTGATAAAATAATAAAAACATCATCAAGTTCCACAGCACCAAATAGTTTATCTCGTTCAAAATCTGTCGAATTTGATTACAATGTTATTGAAACAACAACGACAACGTCATCGCCAGCATTACACTCAAATCGAAATCGTCAATTGGTTAAGCATCCATCCGATCCAGTTCTTTTTTCTGGTAAGTCACAAGTAAATACAAAAACAATATTTTTAATGCTATTATTGTAGGTTATGATGAGACAAATAAAGAGAAGTCACGAACATCATCGAACTCGTACCAAAATATAATAACTTCTCTTGATAATGCTCTTAGAGCAACTGATTCAGTTATCTTACCATCATCAAATACTTCTATTCAATCGACAACAACCAATCTGTTTTCGTCAAATAACTTTGATATGTCAACATCGAATACGAATCATAATTCAATAGCTTTATCAACATCTACAATTGATACTTCATTGGTTTCATCGACATCGAATACAAATGATAGCTCATTCGTTTTGTCTCAATCGATAGGTAATCTTAAATCCGATTTGAAAAACAGGGCAAGTATAAAAGGTTTTAATTATATTTAGAAAAGGATCGTACCTTGGGTGCTATTGAGATGATCGTCAAGAAGCATTTTTCTCAAGTATCGACAACACGTCCAGCAAGAAAGAAGCGTCTAATTCATGGAGCAAATGGTAGATGTGTAACAGACCTTGACGAACTAGCATTGACAGCAATTAAAAAGAAGAAAACTACTGAAACCAAACTTACCAAAAACTGTTCGAATAAAACCACCGTTACACAAAAACAAAATGTACCATCAACTACAGATATTTGTAATGCTAATAGAATTAATACAAATAATTCAACAAATACAGCACCGATTGGTACTCAAAATGTTTCACTACCACCTATTTCTTATATGTTACCATCTAATACTTCTTCACTGGTTCCAACATTTCAGTCGAATCCAGCATCATATGTTCCTTTATATAATACATCATCAACATCTATACAATGCCATTTATGCTATAATTACATTAAACCAGCAGAAATGACCAGCAACTGCAATCTTTGTCATGGAATTCTTTGTTGGGAATGTAGTAGCACGATGGACAATAGCTATCAACTTTGTCAATTGTGTAGAGCGTATTTTACAGGTCAACAGCAAAATTATTTTGCTTATAAACAATAGTACTAGTTTATTTGCAGAGATTAGGTTCACATTTGTCGTGAGTTTCTCTGGAACATGTATAAATATTAACTAATTATATTTCATACTGAAAAAAAAAACAAACGTTGTTTTTGTTTTCTTTTTTTTCTAGTTAAGCTTCGTTTTCCGTCTCTTCTATTTAATTATGTGTTCCCTTGTTTCATAATGTGAACTTTATTCAACAGAAATGCAAACATTCATTGGAAATTTGAAATATTCATATAAATTCTTACTATAAACCACTTCCAAGCAAAGAGAAATGAAAAAATATAATTTTTATGCTAAGTGAAAAAACCAATTCTTCTTGTTTCTTTAGAAAAATTGTATTAGTAATAGGAAATGATATTGAATTACTTCACAATTGTGGAGAAAAAAATTCTATGCATTGTTGGTAACAGAAATTTTTCAACTGAATGTAGTCATCGCTTGAAAAATTATTTGAAAAAAAAGTTTGCAATTCCATACTGTTTTTTACGTATCTATCCAATTACCCCATAGCTTATCATTATCTATCCAATTACCCCATTTGGGGTAATTGAAAAAAATTTTTATTAATTCCTGTAGTGATTATATCAAAAATAAACTTATTTTAATTGAATTATCTTAATGAAAAATTGTTAGCGATTGTAGAGGATGATCTTCTCTATCAGTCTATGAAAGAATTACTAACTAATGTCGTATAATTAATAAAAAAAAGTTAATTTTAATTGTTCAGTAAAAAGTACATGGATTTATCCAATTTCCCGGTCCTCCTAACATATTTATCCAATTGCCCCTGATGGGGTAATAGGAAAACATGTGCTGGGGCAATTGGAAAACAGGTAGGAAATACGTACCTGTAACTCGAATCTATATCATTCTTATATAAGTAGATAGTATATTAGTCACTCTATTTGCATGTCAAATCTCATAGAAAAGTATTCAGATATAAAAAAGTTATAGCGAAAGCGAAAAAAATGATTGAAAGCATATATCCAATTGCCCCACATTACTCTATATGTACATATATGTGTGTATACTTTTTTTCGTTCTGTGACCAATCATATGAAAGTTTCTGAAGAAAGTTTATCTATTATAATATAGATTCATCATCGTATTGAATTTCATTCGATTTTAAATTTTTGTACTCGAGCATTTCCATAGTCGACGACATAGAGATTACCGTGTCGATCAAATGATAAACCTACGGGACCATTGAGTTGATTCGACAGTGCTCCGGAACCGTTTCCACCAACAATGACACTTCCTTGTGTGGCTCCGTTTGGCCAACGCATGATTCGACGATTCCCAAAATCAGCCACATAGACAGTACCCAATTGATCAACAACGACTCCTTGAGGATAATTCAATTGTGTAAGACGATTTCCTTTTCCTTGACCACCGGCTACGACAATGCCTTGTTTTGCACCTTCTTCCCATTTCATTACACGATTATTTCCAAAATCAGACACATAAACTGAATAATATCGATCGACAAATACGTAGTGAGGATAGGAGAGTTGATCGAGACGATTTCCTTGTCCATTGTCACCTGCAACTACTGTTCCTTGAGTGTCACCAATTTTATATCGTCCCACTTCATGTTTTCCAACGTCAACGACATAGAGAGAACCATTGTCGTCCATTGTTAAACCGTAGCAAGAGATATTGGAAATAATTGTTTCTCCACTAGTACCATTTCGACGAGGCCAACGAACTACTCTTTTATTATCCCGATCGCTGATGATGAGATTATCGCTCTCTTTGTCGATAATCACATCTTGTGGGAGGTTTAATTGATGAGCTCCATTTCCTTCTCCATTTTCACCAGCAACTACTTTTCCATTCGTTGCACCAGATTTCCATTCCACAATACAATGATTCCAACGATCAGCGATATAAATTGTCTGATCATCATCGACGTACAAACCGAATGGGTAATTGAGTTGATTGGTTTTACTGCCCAATCCATTTCCTCCAGCAACAGTGATTCCATTCTGTGACCATTTTGCATTCGGATGAATATCAATGGAACTTGCACGTAGTGGTACTGAAATGAAACAAAAGTATGAAGTAAAAATAAACATCAATGTCATTGAAATGAGTCCTTCTCATTTGTTTTAAAGAGTATTGAACTGCTCTCAATTACAAAAGCTTTTTACTTATGAATATGATTAGAATCTGATTTTCTCAATGTTGAAAACAAAACATTGTTGATTTTTTTCAAATATTTTGTGTAAGAATCCTTAGTTTTACTAAAACTAACTATAATTTAACTGGTAATGTAAAAAATTGCGATGAACTGGAATTTTATCGTAAATGAAATTTTCTTTTTTGTCGAATTTTTTCAACATATTCACTGATTTCGTTAGTTCGAGTTTGAAATATATTTAAAAATCATTTCATTTTTTTTGTTTGGATTTTACAATAAAATGAGTTATAATAGAATTTGAACGTAAGGAAAAACAATTTTGTTATCAGTTGATAGGAAACGGTGTATGATTTATGTTCGTCACACATTTCTGAATGAAATGAGACAAAATAAATTTGTCACTTCTATGTGAATTCGTTAAAAACATCTTGCTAGATAATAACGATAGTTAATTATACTTAACTACCATGCATAAGACGTTTTTGACTGATTCATATAAAAAAATTACAAATTTTTTGTGTAAGTATTTTTCTTTCTTATTCCATTTACGAATGTGTGACAAATATAAATCATACATTATTCGAAAGTATTTTATGCCATGAATTTTGCATCATACTTATTATTGAGTAATTTATTCCTGAATCTCAAACAAACAAGTAGTTTGTAGAAAGGCTAATCGAAGTGCTAAATAAGATAAGTTTAGATAAAAAAATACGTAAGTTCGAATTTTAGTAGATAAGAAGAACTCAAAAACAAATCTTTCCCAAGTTCAAGAATATTTGAAGAATCTGTCATGTTTATTATTTTGCATTGTAGCACAAACAGTAATCTATACACGAATCAATCAATTCTTTTATTTTGAATTCATTTCTAATGTATTACAAATTTTCAACTTAATAGGATATGGGACACGTTTTTTTTAAACAATAGCAGTTTCGATCACGGATCGATTTCGAACTTTCTAAATTTAAGTATTTTCGCTTCTTTACAAGACAATGCGAATCTCCTATGAAAATCTTGATCTAAAATCTTTGCAAGTTAGTGTTTTGTAGGTTATTCAATAGGTGTAAATTTTTGGGGATTCTCACAAAAAAGCAAGGATCGTAAAAGATTTCATCATGATTTTAACTATTCTCAATAGCAATAAGTGTGAAGATTTCTTCTTCAAATTGTTATTGTATCGCATTCTGAACTGGTTAAATCCTAGAAGAAAGTTTTTTTTGTTGGTCTAGAATTTTCTAAAGGTTGATAGTGATACTGACTTGAACTTTAAACTAGAAACAATACTTCTATGATTATATCTTGAATGGACAATTACAAAATCGATGAAGTTAATAAAAAATGTCATGCAGTTTTATAAACTCCCTAAAAATAATTTAAATAATTTCATCCTTTTTAATTTATCTATGAAGAATCTAGCCATAATTGAAATCTTGATTAAATTTAATACTATTTAATCAATTTTCATTTTTATTACATGTAATGTCATGTATTTTTAATATGTTTAATGTCTCAGTGCAATTGGAAGAAAGTACATTTTAGTATTATTTATTGTCTTCCATCGACAAAAAAACAAATACATGTAAAACGGTATGAGACCTTTAATTATGTGTCAAACAACTCGAAGATGAGAGTCAGAAACAAAACAACACTTTCTGCTTTCTAAATCAAAGAGATTGGGAGACATAAAATTCTAGTAGGCAATTTTGTGTTCTACTTATAGATGATGACATAGATCTATATGAAATGCTTATTAATACTATAGATTTATTTCAATTAAATCAAACTTCTCAAATATCTCTTATACACATGGAAATAATCAGTTTGACCGGCTACTTTGCTTCGTTTATTTTGCACATAAACTTCAGTCTTATTTTAGAACAAGTACAGTCAACATTTGCTCTATATATGATATTATATAAAATCCTATTCATTATTTTTCATTTTTCTACATTAATAATATAAATAACAATTAGTTTTAATTTTAATTTTTCTATGTTGGTAATATACATAACAGTTAGTTTTATTGCTTTTATTTTCTATATCAATAATACAAGAATCTTAATTCTCATTTCTTGTTTTTCTAAATTGGCAGTTTAGAAAATTTTATTTATTATTTTTGATTTTTTATATTGATAATATAGAAAATCTCAATTTTAATTTTTGATATCGCTGTAACGATAATATAGAAAATCTTATTTTTGAATTCTTATTGATTTTAATTCTTATTTTTCTGTATTATCGATATATAGAAAAATACAAAATAAAAACTAAGATTTTCTATGTCAACAATATACAAAAAATAGGGAATAAAACAAATTGTTATCTTTGTTACCAATGTAGAAAAATAAAAAATAACATTCTCCATATGACCAATGCAAAAAATAAGAAATTAAAATCAGCATTTTCTAAATTATTATTATTACTATAGATAAATAGGACATAAAACTAGCTGTTTCTATATCATCAATATAAAAAATAAAAAATAAATAGGATTTACTATTTTATCACTACAGAAAAATGAGGAATACCAGTAACCTTTTTGTACTCTATTAATATAGAAAGGTGAAAAATAAAAATAACCGTTTTCTACACTATTAGTATAGAAAAAGAAGAAAAAAACTGACGTAAACTATTCGAGTCTTTTTCCCAGGTACTGTTCTTCATCGGAAAGCTGATGGAATCAACTATTCTCGAATAAGGGAAAGAACAGAACAGACCATACACGATCAGATGCTAACAGGCAAGATCGACATTATGTACCGTGTATTTTTCTTTTTTTGGATCTTATATGATCTGTTAAGATCTGACAAGAAGGATCCAGTCTGTCCAAATCAGTGTCTTAAGCATT